GGAGGTTAGGGAACGAAGGTTTGGAGAGGAGCAGTAGGACAGACGGACGGGGCCCGGGGGCGGGGGTGGGGTGGTGCCACCGGTTGGCATGGCCGCCCCGGGCGTCCTGTGGGGTCCACGAACACGCCCCAGACGGCCCATGAGGCCCCAAAGACAGCCCAAAGACCCACAAGACAGCCTCAGCGAGGCCCAAGAGGGCCCCAAGACGCTCAAGAGCGCCCCAACAGGGCCCGAGATGGCTTGAAGATGGCCGAAGAGGGCCCCAAGAGGGTCTTCAAGAGGCAAACACCGGCCCATTCCCATTCGTAAAGCATGCGTTTTCAGCATACTCGTTTGCTTGGTCCTCACAGTGCCCTAGACGCCCCCGAGCCCCAAGACAGCCCAAGAGAGACCCAAGAGGGCCCACGACGGCCCAAACGGGTCGTCCTGTGAGGCTCACGGACCCCCCCAAAGACGGCCCAAGAGGCCCCAAAGCCGGCCCAGGAGGCCCCCAAGACGGCCTCAGGAAGGCCCAAGAGGGCCTCGTTCGAAATCGTGTTCCCGGAAGCCTCTCCGGGAACATGATTTCCGGGTTTCTAGGACGCCCAAGAGGGCCCCAGGACGGCCCCAAAAGGGCCTTAAAAGGACCTTCAAAAGGCCCGGATGGCCACAGTTCGTTGATTTGCGTGAGATGTTGTTGGATTTCTTCCGCGCGGAGGAGACGGAGAGGGCGAAGGAGGAGGAGGAGGAGGAGGAAGAGGAGAAGGAGGAGGAGACAGGGAGGAGGAGTGGAGGGGAGGAGGGGGGGAGAGAGGAGGAGGCTCGAGGGCGATCGACGATCGGCGACGACGACCGGCGACGGTGATTGACGACGACGACGACGACGATGACGATGACGACGACGACGACGGACGACGGTCGACGACCGACGACGACGACGATCGACGACGATGACAATAGTCGACGGCGCCGATCGACGATCGACGGCGACGACGACGGCCACGCCGACGGCGGCGACGCTGCCCGCGTGACAGCCCAAGAGGCACACAAGACAGCCTCATCGAGGCCCCAGAGGGCCCCAAGACGTCCAAGAGCGCCTCAAGAGGGCCCGAGATGGCTTGAAGATGGCCGAAGAGGGCCCCAAGAGGGCCTTCAAGAGGCAAAACTTTACCCATTCCTCGTGTAAAACGTACAATTTCAGCATACTCGCTTGCTTCGTCCTCAGAGTGGCCCCCGAGGAGCCCCAAGACAGCCCAAGACGGCCCAACAGGCCCCAAAGCCGGCCCAGGAGGCCCCCAAGACGGCCTCAGGGAGGCCCAAGAGGGCCTCGTTCGAAATCATGTTCCCAGAAGCTTCTCCGGGAACATGATTTCCGGGTTCCCAGGGCGCCCAAGAGGGCCCCAGGACGGCCCCAAAAGGGCTTAAAATGACATTCAAAAATTCCCAGAGGGCCACAGTTCGCTGATTTTCGCGAAATGTTGTTGGATTTCTTCCGCGCGGAGGAGACGGAGAGGGCGAAGGAGGAGGAGGAGGAGGAGGAGGAGGAGGAGGAGGAGGAGGAGGAGGAGGAGGGGGAGGAGGAAGAGGAAGAGGAGAAGGACGAGGCGGGGAGGAGGAGTGGAGGGGAGGATGGGGCGAGAGAGGAGGAGGAGGCTCGAGGGCGATCGACGATCGGAGACGACGACCAGCGACGGTGATTCACGACGACGACGACGACCACGACGACGACGACCGATGACGATCGACGACGATGACAACAGTCGACGCCGCCAATCGATGATCGACGACGACGACGACGACGGCCACGCCGACGGCGGCGACGCTGTCCGACGGCCTCAGCGAGGCCCAATCCGGCCCCAAGACGTCCAAGAGCGCCTCAAGAGGGCCCGAGATGGTTTGAAACTGGCCGAAGAGGGCCTTTAAGAGGCAAAACTCGGCCCATGCCAGTTGTACAACGTACGTTTTCAGCATGCTTGCTTGCTTGCTTGGTCCTCACAGTGCCCCAGACGCCCCCAAGCCCCAAGACAGCCCAAGAGAGACCCAAGAGGGCCCAAGACGGCCCAAAAGGGTCGTCCTGTGAGGCTCACGGAACCCCCAACACGGCCCAAGAGGCCCCAAAGCTGGCCCAGGAGGCCCCCAAGACGGCCTCAGGAAGGCCCAAGAGGGCCTCGGTCAAAATCGTGTTCCCGGAAGCCTCTCCGGGAACATGATTTCCGAGTTTCTAGGACGCCCAAGAGGGCCCCAGGACGGCCCCAAAAGGGCCTTAAAAGGACCTTCGAAAAGGCCCGGATGGCCACAGTTCGTTGATTTGCGTGAGATGTTGTTGGGTTTCTTCCGCGCGGGGGAGACGGAGAGGGCGAAGGAGGAGGAGGAGGAAAAGGAATAGGAGAAGAAGGAGGAGGCGGGGAGGAGGAGTGGAGGGGAGGAGGGGGGAGAGAGGAGGAGGCTCGAGGGCGATCGACGATCGGCGACGACGACCGGCGACGGTGATTGCCGACGACGACGATGACGATGACGACGA